TTTTTAACTAATCATTAATCTCCAACTCCAAAGACGAGCGGGGAATGATAAATATTACCGTAAGCTCCCGAAAATAAACGCATTGAATCTGGGACAAGTGACGATCTATACTAAATTATTGAACTTTCAATTGTACAAACATTATTATTATTATCATTATAATACTATCGTTACTATTATCGTTGAAGATGACTATAACTTGTCATTTACGATGACGGCAATGACAACTTATCGTTTACTATAATTTACGATGACGACGACTTTAACTTACGATGATTACAACTTATAATGACTAAACATGTTCAAACTTTAATATTTTATTTTAATAAAAGTTGATTTTGACGTTAAGGGTATATTACTGATGAGTTTAGCATTTAATACACACGAAAATATAGAAATACCACAATTTATTGCAAAGTTCTTCGCAGAAAAATGGTTTAGTTTATTTCATGAGAAGTCTAAGACTACAATGGACGTTCTAGATTATATACGTCTAAGGAAATCTATTGTGACACTTGACACTGCATTCATAGTAATAGTAACATTGAAAGGCAATTTGGAAAATACCTACAGTTCTAAATAATTATGACTTTATAATTATAGTTGAACAAGAAGATAAAACTATATTTCAACCTTGATATAATTGCAAGTGTAATGATCAAAGTAATAAATCAACTAATTTTATATTAAGAGTTCCATTTCCAAATTACTATATTTTTGAATTTCTTGTAATTGAACAAACATTGAAATATCATTAGTTTCTCTAAATGTTCTAAAAAGATTATTAATAAAATTAATACCAGGATTTTATTGTTTTATCAGACAAACTTATTGCAAGTTCTGTTTCATTTTTCGAATAAATATATAATTCATCTTCATTATTCATAATGATGTGGATAATTAAAAGTTCCCAAATAATGATTCAGTTTTGTTGTAAAGTGTAATTTTATTTTCAAGTGGATAAGATAAATCTAATGATTCCAAACATTTTTCTATTAATTCAAAGTTCCATACCAGCTGAACAATGTTCGTTAACTAAGGATGTTTAGAGTGACTGCTATCCCCGATCTACATTAATACTTGACGATCAATTTTCCTAGTTGTTACACGAATCACGAATTAATCGATTTTTTAAATTGATCGACATCATATGCTCAATTTTTGAACAAATAAATAAAATTAGATACCACCTTTGATCAAATTTTTAAGCGAACACTTAAATCTTACGGAAAAACTTTACAAGCTCTTCGTAAAGAAGAAGCTAATGGTTCAGCCTTGCTTCAGTCGAGTCAAGAAGATCTTGAAAGATGGGGGATACGCAGGAAAATCAGTCTAGTGGATGAAACTGAAGATCTGGAAAGTTTTGGAAATTTTTGAAGGATGCGAAAATTGATAATAATTCCTTCAGCTACCCAAGGACATCTATTTTTTGGGCGATGAAGAGCGGGGCGCCATTCTTCTATACATCCGTTAAATGTTACTACCACTTAGCTGATGTTGTCTTTAATGAGGGAATACGTCGTTGTCGATTACCGGTAATCCCGGAATTGGCAAAACTGTTTTCGGATTTTACCTGCTTTATTTGCTTTCACAAAAAAATAAAACCATTGTGTACCACAACGATTGCCAATATCCAACAAGAGGATACCATCCGTAGTAATATCTCTGACTTTATGGAATACTTGCGCAATAGAGATGTCTGGTATATTGTAGATGATCGACCACCACTCGAAGTTCATGCAAAAACAATTATTTTCTGTTCTCTCCAAAAAACACATTACAAGGTATTTGATAAGGAACGGCAATACGATACATGCCGTTATGGTCATGGAACGAAGTCAACGAATGCAAGATCGGTATGTTCAATCCTCTCGAAGATGTGAGGATCGAGTATTTGCACTCGCGCTGGGGAGGGATTCCTCGATTCATTTAGAAAAAGCTCCAGATTTCTCTCAGCAAGCTCAACTCGAAGATGCAATTAGCGAGAATGATGAGAGATTATTTCAATTTGTTGGAGAACTTGACCACGCCCAAGACGTCAG